CAGGGAAATCATCCCCAAATGGCCCAACAATTCAGGTGACTGACATATTATAATTTACCCAGATTGGGGAATAACCATCCATACCAGCCATTTTTATGGTACTAATAGGTTTTGACCTATCCCATATATATATATTATATATATATTATATATATATTATATATATAATATATATATACACTGTATATTGGGTACAAGGTGAGGCCCCCCTTGGTTATCTTTGGTGCTGACTCCGAAGCTGCGATGCATGAAGGTGACAGTGAATGAAGTAAGTAATTCAGTAACCCATATACATATATATATATAATATGATATAGTAATATACTAGAATATATTAGAATATATATTGGAATATATTAGAATGCATATAAAAATATATAAATCTATAAATATATATATATGCACATCTATACATATCAAGTTTCATGTGCACAAAAAACGCCGAGGCTCAGTGCTGTTGTTGCATCTAACGTATGCCAAGACAGCTCTTCGTTGTTGCAAGCGGCCTCCGTTGACACATCAATCATTGTACCAGCGGTTGGACCAAACAGTGCCTTGGTAAAAACGACGGAACGGCCTGGGTCCGTGGGTAAGGTGAGATCAACGTTGGAACTATGATGATTAACACGAATTAGTGTTGATCTGTTAATCTTGATGAACTAATATGAACTATCTTAATTAGTAATCTATTAGTGAGATTAAGACTAATAATCACTAGATGTCAAACACTAGGTGTCACTAAACATCTAGTGTTTATTAGTGTTTATGAATGTGTCACACGTGTTTATTAGTGTCAACAAGATGATTAACACTAATAAAGACTTGACACTTATAAACACGTGTGATACTATTGATCTATTTTTAACACATCATTTGATGAATTCTCGGGTCAACAGGTGAATGGTAGGCGAAAATGAGTTGTTTTTTTTGGATCTTTCATGCATTTTGACAATGATATAAACTAATCCTTTCCCCCTCACATTCAAAAATGAGCCCGCAAAATGATGAGTCCAATGCTAGTTAGCATGGTTTCTGAGGGGGTATTTTCAATTTTTTTCAGGGAGATGGTATATCAACAATGGGCCCCGTTGTGAGAAATCCACCACTTTTTGCATCGCTTCGGACCCTGGAAACCTGGGCTGGCATTTTTCATTTTTCGGCTACATGATAGTATGCCATGGTCAAATCACCAAGGTGATTTTTTCCACTGGGGAAACATATGCTTCGTTTAATTGATCAATCCATTTTCGTATCGATGATTCGTTTGGATTCAACAAAGCTGGGATGATAAGACATTCAGCCCATGCAACTTGATGCCACAGGATTTTCTAAGACATCGCAGTTGGGTAATTACATGTACCCGCTAACGAACGTAGCTATGGAACATTGTCCATTTTTTTTTTTAAATAGTTGATTTAGCTCTGAAGACATGCGGATGTTCAAAAACGCTCTGTCAGTTTGGAGGGTACCTAGTGGTTTGCCTTGAGGCACTTGAGGCCAGCAATTTTTTCGTTGGATACTGGTTGGGTGTTTTTTCACACCTAACCAGAGGGGATCATTTGATATCGTCCCAATGACTTTCACCACGGGGATGATAAAAACTGCAGTTATTCTTGAAAAAAAACATGGTTATCCCACTATGAACATGAACATTCCAATAAGTATCCAAGAAAAAATCGAAAACAAAACAATGGTTTATGGCATTAAGCACCATATGAAAACCATTACGTATGTTCCGTGATATTCCCATGATATCTCCTTAAAGTTATTAACCATGTATATGTTCATGATATTCCATGATATTCAAAGACTGTATGGGATACCCTCTGGTAAACGTTTACATAGCTATGGAAAATCACCGTGTTCAATGGCTAAATCCACTATTTCAATGGGCCATTTTCAATAGCTCTGTAAACGTTTACCAGAGGGTATATCCCATGAATATCCCATCAAAAATCACTATAAAAATCCCCCAAAAAAATCACTATAAAATCCCACACTATAAAATCCCATTAAATCCCCATTAAATCCCATAAATGGACCATAAATTCATCCATTTTCCAGTTCGCTTTTTCGATGTTTACCAGGCCGGTACCGGGTAGACCGTTCCGATGGGATTCCATCTGCAGGAATTCCGTGTATCATCCACCAGATCTGGAATGGAAGCCTCGACGACATGCCCGTGGACATGGCGCGAAACTCACGTCGTGACGTACTTTTTGCTGGGGATAAAATCATTGGACGATCGATACACCATTATCATTATCATATATATATATATATCACCATTATACAGTATACATATTTAATCACCATGATCACCACTAGAATCACTAGATGGGTATGGATACATATATGTATATATATATATGATACTTAAATGGTACCCTCCCAATTAAACAATCAGGGGTGTAAAAAAAATCCAGGGTTGACATTATTGATCTTGATATGGCTATGGATCAATACCTATTAAATCCTATTAATAGCATTTTTAGGGGGATGAACATCCATAAATCCCAGCTATTTTGATGTGAACTACAGGTACCAGGGTTTTGACACACTGCCATATATGTATATATATATATGTATATATATATATATACATATACATGCATATTTATAATGGGACTTTATACATAGTGATTTTTCATGATGTAAAGGATTATATGTTCTAACGATTCAATGGGAGATTTTATCATCGGACTATGGCATTTCCATTGGAGCTTGTGCTGGAAAATCCGAATGGGCAAAACCCCAAATGGACACCATTTTGGCAGAAAAGCTGGTCATGTGGATTTCCTCCTCTTGGGACGTTTGATCAAACGCTTTGCAAAACCCTTTTTTTTTCCACTCTTTTTGGGTTGTGTCTAAGCCTGTTTTTTTTTTTTCGAAAATTTGGGGGATGATGATCCAGGTACATCCAGGCAGGAGGTTTCCTGGCAGGGGGTACTCCCAGATGTCGTCGAGTCGACCAGGTCCTGTCTTGAAACAATGGTGACTGGCGACCGTGGAGAATTTCACCGCACCAAGGGTCTCATTTGAAAGCCCACAAGGAGATAGATTCTAGTCATTTATCACTCACCACTAGGAATTTCCTGGGATTTGACATGATTTTACACATGATTTTACTTTTCCATCCTGGAGGGTTGCTAAGCCATGCTAAGCCCATGAGTGAAAAATCTAGCCGTGTTTCCGCAAGAATCCACCTGAAACCGTCAGGCCGGGTACGTAAAGAGCTGGAAGACCAAGAGCCATGGCATGGGGGAGCACCCTCACTGGGACCTGGAGAGATAGGAAAAGTAGACTGGGGGTTTTGCGGTGATATTGGGCACCCATGGTGAAGAATTTGTCAACATGGGAAGCATACATGGAACTCCTCAAAAAGATGGCTGCGTTCCAGAGTTGCAATTGGCTTCCTGTAACCGTGTGGATCATCTCAGTTCAAAACATCCAATCTTGGATTTACTCTTTCGCAAATCAGCAAAAAACATACTATGTACATATATATATATGTATATATATATATATGTATAGAAGACCCATGGGTTTTCCAAAGAAGATAAATTACGCATGGACGATTTTCCATATCTACGTCACTTTAGCAACACACGTGTTTTCTTCCCAGAAAATATAGGGATTTAACCACCAAACATAGGCTTTAACTTGTAAACAACTCTGGTTAACAAGTCCCCACTGACTGGTCCCATTTATCAAAGGTGAAACAAACATGATTCTTCCCAGTTGCGATTTTAGGATCATGATTCTCCCAGAACTGGGTCTTTTCGGGTTTTCGGGGACGATTTTTTGACAATACGATGGGAAAAGCCACTGGGTTTTCCCCGAAAACCGAGATTGGTTCATGAAAAATGGTTTGATCCGCCATTGGAACTTTGGAACTGGCAGATATTACAGGGGTTGGTAAGTGTCTCATTTTGGGAATATTGGATATCACCTAAAAAAGTAGCAATTATAGACCATATACCATTCATGGTTGGGTGATGTGACCCATGGGGACATTTAATGACCCATGTATTACCATAGAGTTGCCTATACACCCTGCCTCACTGCGGTTCCCAACTGCCTTTTTTTTAAAAAATTGACGAGACGCCAGTTCCAGCCAGCAACCCCCAAGGGTTGTGGTCGGCGATGGATACCACAGATCTCCATAATATCATCACTGGGAGGTACCGAATCAATGAATCTTGATATGTCGAAACATGTCATGAATCTTAATGATATAACCCATAGGATCCATGGTGCTGGTATATATACTAACATAGGTTGGGGGTATATTGATGGGATCCATGTTACCATATATAGCAGCACCATGGATCCTATGGGTAATGCCAATCACAAGCAATATTGCGTTCGCGAATATTAGAGCAACATCTCGTTAAATATCGGACATCTGGCCATTGATCGTATGTTGTAAGTAACTTTAGTGGTTTTCGCCACTAATCAATGGGCGGATTCCCGCGTTTTTGCCTACAGGTTGGCTGGGATATACAAGAAATCTAAGAGTTGGGTTGGTGGATTCATTTATTGTTGGATGAAAACAAATCGCTATCGTATAATAGGGTCCTGTACAAACTCGATTTTCTGATGGATCGACATGGGTGTACTAAATCGGTGCCACCAAGTCAGCCTATGAAATCCCGTCCTTTTGTCTGAAATTGGGTGCCCCAAAATTTGATCACTTTCCCCACAAATTGATATCATTCGACTCGAGGTTCTGCATCCATCATTTTCAGACACCATGGCTATCATATTGTTGGCTACGGCTATGTATTTCATTATATCCGGGATAAGATTGTGAAAACCATATGTTGGTAGGTGTAAGCTTGGTGTGCGGCAGTTTGCATTTTCACTTTTTGCATTTTAGCCGATTTTCACCGCAGCTTGACTCAAGCGCTGCTCTAGCGAAAATAGCTGCTTTTGCCCCTTTTACTCTGAGCCCAATTTGCTACCCTTGCACTCCGCATTGGTAGCGGAGCGCTGTGATGCTGTCAAAGCTCCAGGCTCCCATGGCCTCGGCTGCGCCGAGACGGCCTGCTGGCCGTAGGGTGGCAACCCAACAAAGGGCTGAGTCCCTGAAGGAGGCTGCGCCTCAAGAAGGAACGCTTCCTTCTCCAATGGCGGCAGCGCCGCACCCGCAAGAGGACTTTCGACGTCATGGTCGTGGCCCCGGATCGACGCACTCCGAGCCAATAGGTGGCAGGGGAAAATCCATTGGGAAAGGCCAGATGCATGCCCAGCCCATTCCTGGTCAGGGATGGTTCACAGATGGGCGCCAGTGGTGGCCAGTGGACCCTGCAATGATGATGGCTTCATGGTCGTCAACGCCCTACTCATCATGGAGTTTCCTGAGCCAGCAGACTCAGGTGAACCCCATGGAGTCCGAGAAGATCGGAAAGAGCCAATATGGCACTGGCACGAGGACGCAGACGAAGACCAAGACTGAACCAGAAGCCGAGAAGCCATCTAAGAAGGATAAAGGCAAGGACAAGGAGAAGAAGGACGACACAGGTCGAAAAGGGAAGAAACCAAAGGAGGAGCCTCCCGAGGAAGATCCGCCCGACTGGGGCGACGGAGACGATGGAGAAGACCCAGATGGGTCGGATTACACCTATGAAGAAGAGAGCGAGGAGGAGGAACTCCAAGAGCCAGACCAGGAGGTCGAAGTCACACCTCGGTCTGCGGTCAATCTGACACCGAGGAGCGCAGAAGGTGGAGGAGCCGGGCCGCGACCCGAACAGGCCAGGCAGCGACCTGGACCCAAGCGACGCGCGGCGGCGCACAGGGTGCATCAGGCGGCAGCAGATCCGCCTAACAGACGCAGACGTGGTGGAGCACCACCGGATGGCAGCGGCCCTCCATCCACAGCTGGTTCGGGTGCACCTTCAAGCCGAAGATCATCGACGATGAACACGGATTCAGTTCGAGACCTACTGCATCAGCGAGACAACCGCCCTGATGGAAGGGCCAGGGCAAACCTGGGCCAAGTGAGACTGGAGACGTTCTCCGGAGACAGGTCCCAGTACCGCAACTGGATGAAGACGATACAGGCTCAGAAACAACTGTATCAAATCCAGGACAACGAGCTGGCGGTGCTGATGTTTTTGAGCACGACAGGAGAAGCTCGGGAGGTCTTGAATCAGCTGGAGGTGGCCGACATGCAGCAGGAGGGAGGCCTTCAAAGGCTATTGAGACTCCTTGAGGAGGCTTATGGGAGTAAGGCGGATGAGAGATTTGAGGAGAGGCAGTCCGCTTTCCTCAATTACCGCCGCTCTCCTGGCCAAAGCATAGCTGCCTATCTAGCAACGCTCAAGCGTTTGCGCACCGAGTACTTGCGCGAGGACACAGGCACAGTCATATCTGACCGCGCATTTGCGCAGCGGATGCTGACCAGAGCTGCACTGACACGCAAGGAAAGGTACGACTGCTTCTTTGCGGCGGGCGGTTCTTACCGCTCGGCCCCAATAGAGAAGGTCTTGAGGTTCCGGTGTGCGCAGATCCACCTGGACGAACACCCGTCGAGCCGACGGCAGGAAGACCGCGCCGGTCGGGCTGTGCAGCGCCAGCCGCAGAGGAAGAAGGTCTACAAGAGATCAGACCGCCGAGGTCCCTACAGGCCTACGAGACATACCCATGTGGTGGACGAGCAAGAAGATGAGGGGTATGACTATGAGGAGGCCTACAACGACACGGACGACGAGGACTTCGAGCAGGAGGCACTCATGGCAGAGGAGGACATGCCCGAAGAGGAGGATTGGTCACAGGAAGAGTTCGACGATGAAGAGCTCGATGATGTGGACCAAGCGGCCCTCCAGGAAGCCTTTGCAGCTGGATGGAAGGCAAAGAACAAGACTGCAGCAGCCAGGCAGTCAAGAGGATACAAAGGCGATGGAAAGCCTTCGAAGGGCAAAGGAAAGGGCAGGCGTCCAGACTCTCGCAACCCGGAAGAAAGGAAGAAGAACTCGACCTGTGCATCGTGTGGGCAGAAGGGTCACTGGAGAGGAGACAGTGTCTGCCCAAATGTCAGGTCTGGAAAGGATGCACCACATCGCAAGGAGAACTCCACCAACTACACCACCGGCAGGTCCAATCGAGGCAGCGCCTCAAGTGCCGCTGGAGGGGCCCGCGAGCCCCCACAAGATGTCCGAGAACGAGATGATCGAGAACCTCTGCAGAGGAAGCTGCACCCAAGCGGGTTGAAGAGCACTGGGAAGGCTGCGCCCCCAGAACCTCCTTCACCTCCCCGGAGAGGAGCAATCGACAAGTCTCCAGCAGACACCTTTGTGGTCCCGAGAGCACCACGGGAACCTCCACCACCAAGGAGACAGCCGCCGGAGCCAGATCACCCCCCTCCAGGTAGGAGGAGACCTGTGGAAGCAGCCTCACCTCCGAGGCGTGAACCCGAGTTGGAACCCAAGGCGGAGAACTCTCCAGAGAAGTCCAAGCCGAAGAGAAGAAAGCATTCGGCAGGGGAAGATCGAACGAGAAGATCAACTGGAGAGGAACGAGACAAGAATCGAGACAGAGATCGTGATCGTGGTCGACGTCGTCGCCGACAGGAGGAGGAGCAGGCGGCTGCAGCCGGCACAGAAGAACCTCGTGAGGCAGCTGCCAACGAGGAGGCCTTTGTCTCGCAGCCATCATCAGGTGTCACAGCGCGGCAGTGCAACTGGACACTGATGGTTGGCTCATGGGATGTGATCAAGGACTACAACTCTGAGGCAGAGGAGACGGTCTCATCTCATTCGGACACAAGCGACAGCGAGATTGACGAGTACGTCAAGAAGTATCAGCTGCATGACCCACCAGCGATGAAGAAAACCACCAAGGAAAAGCTGAAGGTCAAGCTGCTGACAGTTTTGAAATCCCTGGCAGAGGACGAGGAGGATGCCGAAGTGAAGAAGCGCTTGAAGCGCAAAGAGAAGCGCCTGCAGGACAAGGCGGCAGCTCGAGCCACTGGCTCCCAGGCTTCTGGATCAGAGGCACCCAAGAAGTCAAGAGCCAAGAAGGAGACCCCGGATCCGAAGTTGGATGAGGATATGGGCCTATCTACAGCGGATTTGCTCCAGCTCCTGCCGCACATGAGCAAGGAGGAGAAAAAGATCCTCTACCGCCAGTTGAAGAGGGAACGTGAAGACGAGGCGGTGAAGCTCTTCGGGAAGAACGCGGCCTCAAGCACCCCAACAATGATGAAGAGGCCGGATCGCCGCCGCGATGGGTACTCGGCTGCGTCCGTACCTTCTGGAACAGTGGGCCGCGGCCTAAGAAAGGAGGACGTGCAGGAGCCTCCGGACATGGAAGCCACGATGCCCGTTGGAGTTCGGAAGAAGCGCATGGACCAGTTCAGGAAGGAGCTCTACGAGGCGGCGAAGAACAGAAAAGGGCGCGTGGTACCATCTGAGGCGTCGGACTTGCCGACAGCTGAACAGGAAAATTGCCCTCACCCTTTTGAACGACTGTTGTGGGGAGCAAACTCGAATGCCCAATGGGCAAGCTGCCGAGACTGCAAGCTTCGAAAGGTGCTGTACTATTCGGCTATGCATGGCGCAATGGCAGTGGACCAGACTATGCCGGACATCCTGGAGGAGGACAATGGAGCGTACCACTCCAACATCCTGGCCCCTGGCCATGTCATTCTGGACACAGGGTGCAGAACAGCAGTGGCCGGTCGAAACTGGCACAACAACCTCCAGGAGCTCATGCGCCAGAAAGGGATGCCTTTCTACAAGGCATACCATGAAGAGGTGTTTCGCTTTGGTGCAGGGGCCCCAGTTTTGAGCACAGAGGCGTTCATCTATGCCATCCAGATCTATGACCACAGATCGTGGGTTCGCATTGCCGTTGTGGACAATACTCCAGAGGATGGCAGGGTGGCAGAATGCCCTGGATTGGTGGGCCCGGCAGAGCTGGCCAGATGGAAAGTCCAGATCGACTTTGCCAAGCTCCAAGTTGCCATCCATGGCAAGTGGCAGCCAACAGTTTTGAGTCCTTCGCGACACCCCATCCTGAACTTGCTCAACGTGTGCAACCGTCCAGATCCTGGTCAATGGGAGGTTGGCGAGCTCAAGGAGCTGAGGCAGCGCCTCGCGGCAGATCCACATTCATTTGCCCTCCTGCAGGAGGCACTTGATGAGCTGAGCTCTGATGCCGGCAGCGCCGGGGACGAAGCACCAAACTATGAGGCTGTGCATTGGACGGCACAGCAGCTGGATTCGATGGCCAAATGGCAACAAGACACCGAGGCGGAGGCCATCAATCTGTTGGACGTCATCGGCACGGAATGCTTCCGGGTCACCACAGGTGGGGAGCGTGACGATAGCTCCACTGGATCAATCAGCGAGAGAGAGAGTGAAACCTCTCATGAAGGTGGACTTCCAATGGTCTTGGATAGCAGTGCAGAGGAGTCCACGAGTTCAGAGGAGGAGCTGCCCGATGATGTGATGATGGCCGGCAGCGCCGGTGACACAGAACAGCTGACCAAAGGTCAGAAGAGGAGGCTGCTTTCAGCCACCAAGCAGGTGAGCGAAGCGGTTGAGGTCGAGTGCGATCGACGCCGCAAGGAAAAGGAAGTTCCACGCTTTCGACGTCTGAGGACAGGGCTGAAGATCATGGAGATCTTCACTTGGAGCTGCATGCTGTCAAGGTTCGCCTATGGTCTGGGATGGGAGTACCTAGAACCAGTCACACTCCCTGGCTGGGATCTGACAGATCCTCGCATTCAACTGGAAGCCCATGACTACATCGACAAGGTGGACCCCGATTTTGTCATGTTGGCATGGCCCTGCGGGCCCTGGTCGCTGCTCCAAAATCTGAACAGTAAAACGTGGACGCAGCGCGAAGCATTGCAGCACAAGAGAGAGACATCGAGGAAGCTCCTCAAGTTCTCTGCACAGGTGTCTCTCAAACGACAGAAGCGTGGCCGCGCCACCTTGGGAGAAAACCCGCTCACAAGCTTGGCTTGGAAAGAAGACCCAATCATCGATGGTTTTGGTGATTTCCCGCAAGGGATCTGCGAGCAGTGCCAGTATGGCCTGAAACATCCAGAAAATCGGATGCCTCTCAAGAAAGCCACAAGGTTCGTTGGACAGGAGGAGATCGTGGCCGAGTTGAGGAAGAGATGCCCAGGCAATCATGAGCATTTCCCCATCGAAGGTTCTGTCCGAACCAAGGATGGCACCATCTCCCTGTCATCTTGGGCAGGTGGTTATCCAGTCCCGCTGTGCCGAGCGATCATGACTGGGGTGATCAACTATATCCACCGACCAGATGGCAAGCAGGTCTACGTCTTGGAGGACCACGTGGCGGAAGAATCCTATCAGGATGGTATGGATGCAATCCGAGAAGAGGAGGAACAGATCGCAGAAGAGCTGGCAGAGCCAGAAGAGGATGAGCGGCGAGCTGTGCCGCGAGAGGTGCAAAAAGCTGTCGAGTTTGCACACCGACAGTTGGGTCACCCGAGCCGGGATACCCTCGTGAGGATGCTGCGCATCTCTGGGGCAACTGAGGAGGCTATCCGCCATGCTCGGCGATGGCGCTGCGAAGTTTGCAGCCAGCAGCAACCTCCAAAGCACCCCATGGCTTCAACTCCCACTTTGAGGCCGTATGGTTTCAATCGCAAGATCCACATCGACATCAAGTTCGTTTTTGATAGCCGTGGCCGAAAGTACCCATGCTTGAGCGCAGTTGATTTGGGTACAACGTACCACATGGCAGTGCTACTCAAAACACGACGGTCGGACTATGTGGCCCAAAAATTTCTGAGGCACTGGGTTCAGGTGTTTGGAGTGCCTGAACATATCACCCATGATCAGGGTGGAGAGTTCGAGCTCTCATTCATCCAGCTTTTGGAAGAGATGGCAGTGCCCAGCACGGTGACAGGTGCTCATGCAGGATGGCAGCTGTCTGTGGGAGAACGCCATGGTTCCATCCTTGGCAATATGATTACAGCGATCACCACAGAGCACAACTCAGAGGGGTTCAGCGCCATGAAGTTGGTGATCTCATCTGCAGTTGCCGCCAAGAACATGACGGTGACCAAGGACGGATTTACTCCAAATCAACGCCTTTATGGCGCCGAAATCAAGTTCCCAAGTCTCACCGAAGACACCGCCAAGCCCACCTTTGCAGAGGCTCTGGACGCGGAATCGGAATATGCCAGAGCTCATCGCATGCGCATTTGCGCAAGGTTGGCATTGATCCGCATGGATGTACAAGAGAAGTTGCGCAGGGCCATCCTGCGTAAGCCTGCCCATGAAGGAGAGGGACCATTCAGTCCTGGAACCCAGATCTACTTCTGGACACCAAGGAAGGCCGACAAGCGGTACAAACGTGGTGGACTTTGGCGGGGACCCGCGACTATTCTCACGCGAGAAAGCAAAGAGCGCTACTTTGCAAGCTGGAGAGGCCGCGCCCTCCTTCTGGCAGCGCCCAACATACGTTTGGCGACAAAGGAGGAGCTGGCACTTCGTGAGCCTGCGAAGGAGGACGCAGATGATTTGGGGGAGTTGCTGCGCGACCCTCACAGGGAGAAGACCTACAAGGACCAAACTCGCTTGAAACCCCTCCAAGGGTCGTCAAGCGAAAAGCTGAACCCGACACACCAGAAAGGAAAAGAGCCCGCATGCTTCTGCGGGGAACCAAATCAATCCGCCAGATCCTTCAGGACCGCTCGAACCTCATGAGACAGTTCCGGAAGAGAAAGGCGGAGAAACAGATCGAAGACCAACCCGAGCCGAAGAGGGTATCTCGACCAAAGAGGCCCAAGGCTCTCGAAGATGGACAGGCAGCGCCTGAGGTGTCGCCTCTACCACCTCCACCCGATCCACTGGCTGGAGAAGAGGAGGAGGTCATGTCAGAGGCCTACACACCTGGAACACCAATCAATGACAATGATGGCGAGCCGCCACATATCGATACGGATGATGAAGGTTTGGATGAGCCATCCGCGGTTGAGGCCGAGCCTCCCACAGTCAGGGCACCGCACGAAGTTCCGGTGCCACCCATGCATGATGATGAGTGGGAGGCCGAGTTTCTCAAGAAGATTCCAGGAGAGGAAAGGAGAAGGTTGGCTCTGGATGACGTGCCATTTTCCCTCAAGCGAAGGCACGAAGGAATCGACGATGCTCAGGCTGATGAGGCCATTAAGAGGCTGAGGGCCAATTTCTGTGCACAGGTGGCCGCGACCACTGTGTTTGGCTCCCTTCAAAATGAATGGGTCTCAAGATATGAAGTGGACCTATTGAAACAGCTGACAGGACTTCCAGTCACAGCAGCCAGGATCCACAGAAGCCCAAGGAAAAGATTTCAGAGACCCCCGAAGATGACAAGCCGTTCCAGGCTGAGCATCCTCATTGGGAAGAATCCCGAGGACACCTTCATCGTGAATGAGACTGAAGAAGAAGTGCGCCACAATCCCAGGCGCCGTGCCAGTTTTTACTGGAAAGGAATGACCATCTTCTACAAGACGCACAAGGAAGGTGAGACCGAGCCGGTCTACATTCAGCTCCCTGATGGTCTTTACAAGGCGGATTTCAAGCCGCATGAAGCCCAGGAGTTTGAATCCTTGTGGACTGAGGAGATCAAAGACCTGCTCACATCGGAGGCCTTGATCCTCAAACTCAAGAAATGTGGGAAAGAGTTGGATCCCACCTTTTTCGATGAGAAGGAGCAGGCTGCCTTTGACATCTCTGACAAGAAGGAGTGGTCGGAATGGATTAAGAATGGTGTTGTGCAGCGCGTGACACCGGAGGAGGCAGAGAAGATCCCGCGAGCCAACATATTCCGTGCACCACTGCGGATGCTTCGCACAAACAAGCAATCAAACCGGCTGCTGCCGTTGGTCGCCAAATCCAGGTTGATCGTCCCAGGACACCTGGACCCACAACTCGGCGAGTTCAGGACTGATAGCCCTACGTGCCCGCAGGCTACAGTTCGGGCAGCAAAAGCGGTTGCATCCGCACGGAATTGGGGTGGCACAACATTTGATGTCACCACCGCATTTTTGAGTGGCAAGAATCTACAGAGGAAGGTCTACATCAGGGCACCTCGTGAGGGATTACCCTCTGTGGAGAAGTGGCCACCAATTCAACCAGGTGAGCTTTTGCAGATCCTCAAGTCCGCGTACGGATTGACAGAAAGCCCACGATTGTGGTACCTGGAGGCCCTTGATCGTATGAAGAAAACAGACCTCCAGGAGCTTGAGATCTGCAAATCCTGCTTTGTGGCCAGCGGCCAAGATGGGCGTAGCTACGCCATACTTTGTCTCCATGTTGATGACGGGCTTTTATTGGGTGACTTGAGCGACCGCAGGGTCCAACGACTCAAGGAACAAATCAATGGTATGTTCACCATAAAAGCCTGGAAGGAATTGTCTGCGGACACCCCACTCCAATTTTTGGGTGTGGATGTGACCCAAGATGCCCGCGGCATCTGTGACGACATGTCCCAGTACATCAAACAGATTCGAATCGAACCTTTGCAAGGAAGTGGAGAGCTGGGACCACGCGAGGTGACATTGTACCGCCAATTGGTCATGCGTTTGCGCTGGCCGGCACAACAGGTGTTACCACATCTCCTGTACCAGGTGTCCAACCTCGCACAAAGGGTCAACAAAGCTACGTATGCTGACTATCGTGAAGCGGTTAAACTTCACGGTCAGTTTTTGGATGAAGTTGAAAAGGGCCGCGCCCGACTTTTATACCCCAAGCTCAACGAGAAGGACAAGCTCTTCTACGTCAGCTACTTCGATGCTTCGGTTGGGAAAGAACAGGACGGCAAATCACAGCTTGGAGCCGTCCACTTTCTTACAACAGAGCAAGCTCGAAAAGGGCCAGCGCCAGCTTCAGTGATCGAGTTCTCAACGAACAAAAGTGGTCGGGTGCTACGCAGCTCTATGTCAGCGGAAAGCTGCTCTATGAGTGGATGTGTTGACCGACACCTATATGGGCGTCTGGTCATTGACCGACTCCTTTTTGGAAATCGACCCCTGGATGCCAACTGGCGTACATCGATGGGCCTGGACGGTGGCGTTGTGACGGACGCCAAGAGTTTGTACGACCACCTCTCCACGACGGGCCAATTGCCGACAGAGCGGCAAACAATGCTCGATTTGATGGTGTCGCGACATCATTTGGAGAGTGGTGCCTATGAGCTTTTCTGGGTACCTACGCATAGGCAGTTTGCAGACTGCCTGACCAAAAAGATGGTCTGCCTCCTGTGGCAGAGTTTCTGTCAAGTGCCACGCATCTCCCTGCGTGAAACGCCGGAGGAGAAGGCACTGGAGGACCATCGACGCAAGCTGCGTCAGGGCCAAAGGCAGCGCCGAAAGGCCAAAATGAAGAAAGGCTGCGCCCCCGCACCGGCTGCGCCGGTTAATTAATCTGCCAGCACACCAACACACTTTCCTTGCAATGTGAAAACCATGTGTTGGTAGGTGTAAGCTTGGTGTGCGGCAGTTTGCATTTTCACTTTTTGCATTTTAGCCGCTTTTCACCGCAGCTTGACTCAAGCGCTGCTCTAGCGAAAATAGCTGCTTTTGCCCCTTTTACTCTGAGCCCAATTTGCTACCCTTGCACTCCGCAGAAAGAACATCCGCTAGACAAGGGCACATTGTGAATCTCAAGCTGCAACTCATATATATAGACTTTCCACACATTTGAATGCATGTTCCTGATCATAGATTCAGCCTCGATAAGATGTTTTTTAAAGCAGATTGACTATGCTTTCAAACACCAACCTTTGAGATTTGAAAAGTGCAAACATAGGCGATGTCAACAGCAAACTACTCCCCCCTCATCTTCATGTTTGCCTGTTGGAAGTTGGATTTGGGGGTCTTCCATCATGCGAAATAGCTTCGGGGTCTGTTCCGACGCCCTCGAGGCCTCCGATTGGATGTCTCGTTTCTTGCCCATGCTGCGCTATGCCAGTCCGAACCTGGAGTGCCTTGGATCAGGTTTGGGGAGCACCGTGGAGCACCAAGCAAGGATGCAAATTGGAACAAAACGCTCTCTTTCCAGATAAGTTGCCTAATCAAACTAGAGGAGATAGAAGATTCAACATGTGTTTTCTTGTAAACTGGAGTTGGAAACCAAAGTTCAGGATAATTTGACAGATTGAACCACATGTTGTTCTTCTCACTTTTCTCCAGATGTTGTTTTTCGGAATGGGTGCCCCAACACCACTGGATTCCCCCACAGAAAGAGAGCATGCATGACCATGTTGGCTTGATTTGTTGCGAATCCCCAATCGCTTTGGAAGCAAAAATAGCCAGATACCAGTTTTGCCAGGGCACGTCCTACATGCTTCGTTGCTTCCCAAGGTTTGACTTCAGCAGACTGCCAGCCATTGCAGTGAAGGCCTGGAGTCTGTTACAGCGATCCGAAAAGGTGGAGAAATGTCGTGCTCGGACATGATGCAGCAAGACACCCATAGCCACCCCCATTGTGACGGAATGACATGGGTGGAAAACCATCACTGTTGAATGACTTGCAAGGACTATCTCAGGCGTGACATAGTGTGACAATGTGCCGGTTATTGCTGCTGGGGTTCATTTTCTTAACTGGATGTCTTGACCCCCAAATTCGAAAGCCAGTTCTCAGCCACTCGCAGCTTTTCTTGCCTCTTGGATAGCGGCTCTGGCGCGACAGGAGAAGGAAGAGACGTGAGGGCCCGATCTGATGCAACTCCACATTGCTGTTTTTGATCTGCTGAAAGCGTTGGACCTAAACATATCAGGGAATATATTTGCCAAACACCACTTTTGGGGTGCTACTGTAATATAGCTCTTGTTGTAGTTATACTAAATGAACATAAATGAACATACAATTACTTCCAAAACTCTGTCTCCGAGGTCAGAGGCAGGCGTAGAAGCTGATGAGGTGGGACTCTCCCGATTGAACTGAGCTGCATGTACTGTCGTCAATTCGTCAATTCTCATGTAAAATGTTGTTAAGAACGTGAGGATATCATGAGACCCAATGGGCAGCAATCTATAAGCTGTTGGCCAAGATGATATCAGAAGTTTGATTGACATTGAGCCAGTGGGGTGAGTCCCAAGCAAAACTTTCCAGGCTGAACCGGGCGCAGACACTCCTGCGGATTCAGGGCAGGCAGCTATCAGGGCAGTTGTTGAGATCCCCAAATCCTGAGTGACTAGTGAAATAATCAGATGATTTCGGGGGTTTTTGAATTTTAGTCATTAGACCCACTTAGTCACGAAGCTTTTGCAGCTGGAGCTTTGCATGAGCTACGTATGGGGGATTTTGGCAGCTCAACAGCAAAGTGCAGTGTCCTAACGAACTGGTACGGCTTACTAGACAATGTGGAAATTTACAGTATGCACTACCAGAATGGTGATATATATATAGTATATATTAAACCCCCCGCCAATTTCCTCTGCAAGATCTTGGAGCATGTGCTCCAAATAGACCGTTTTTTAAATTACGCACTTTGCCTGCCTTGGTAAAAATAAGGAAATAATTAGGGAAAAATAGGGACCTAATTAGGAAAAAATAGTTAGGGACATAGTTAGGGAAATAATTAGTGCAAAAATTAAGTACGTAATTAGTGCCATAATTTGGGAAATAATTAGGGAAAAAAACGGAAATAATTAAGGAAATAAATAGGGACATAAATATAGGGAAAAAATAGGGAAAAAATATAGGGAAAATAAATAGGGAAATAAATAGGGAAAATAAATAGGGAAATAAATAGGGAAATAAATAGGGAAATAAATAGGGAAATAAATAGGGAAATAAATAGGGAAATAAATAGGGAAATAAATAGGGAAATAAATAGGGAAATAAATAGGGGAATAAATAAATAAATAGGGAAATAAATAGGGAAATAAATAGGGAAATAAATAGGGAAATAAATAGGGAAATAAATAGGGAAATAAATAGGGAAATAAATAGGGAAATAAATAGGGAAATAAATAGGGAAATAAATAGGGAAATAAATAGGAAATAAATAGGGAAATAAATAGGGAAAAAAATAGGGAAATAAATAGGGAAATAAATAGGGAAATAAATAGGGAAATAAATAGGGAAATAAATAGGGAAATAAATAGGGAAAAAATAGGGAAATAAATAGGGAAATAAATAGGGAAATAAATAGGGAAATAAATAGGGAAATAAATAGGGAAATAAATAGGGAAATAAATAGGGAAATAAATAGGGAAATAAATATAAATAGGGAAATAAATAGGGAAATAAATAGGGAAATAAATAGGGAAATAAATAGGGAAATAAATAGGAAATAAATAGGGAAATAAATAGGGAAATAAATAGGGAAATAAATAGGGAAATAAATAGGGAAATAAATAGGGAAATAAATAGGGAAATAAAAAGAAATAAATAGGGAAATAGATAGGGAAATAAATAGGGAAATAAATAGGGAAATAAATAGGGAAATAAATAAGGGACATAAATAGGGAAATAAATAGGGAAATAAATAGGGAAATAAGTAGGGAAATAAATAGGGAAATAAATAGGGGAAAAATAAAGAAATAATAGGGAAATAAAAATGGAAATAAATAGGGAAACAAATAGGGGAAATAAATGGGGAAAAAAATGGGAAAAAAATAAAAAATAGGGAAATAAATAGGGAAATAAATAGGGAAATAAATAGGGGAATAAATAGGGAAATAAATAGGGAAATAAATAGGGAAATAAATAGGGAAATAAATAGGGAAATAAATGGGAAATAAATAGGGAAATAAATAGGGAAATAAATAGGGAAATAAATAGGGAAATAAATAGGGAAATAAATAGGGAAATAAATAGGGAAATAAATAGGGGACATAAATAGGGAAATAAATAGGGAAATACATAGGTAAATAAATAGGGAAATAAATAGGGAAATAAATAGGGAAATAAATAGGGAAATAAATAGGGAAAATAAATAGGGAAAATAAATAGGGAAAATAAATAGGGAAAATAAATAGGGAAAAAAAATAGGGAAATAAATAGGGAAATAAATAGGGAAAATAAATAGGGAAATAAATAGTGAAATAAATAGGGAAATAAATAGGGAAAACAATAGGGAAAACAATAGGAAAAACAATAGGGAAATAAATAGGGAAATAAATAGGGAAAACAATAGGGAAAACAATAGGGAAATAAATAGGGAAAAAAATAGGGAAATAAATAGGGAAATAAATAGGGAAATAAATAGGGAAATAAATAGGGAAATAAATAGGGAAATAACTAGGGAAACAAATAGGGAAAAAAAAATAGGGAAACAAATAGGGAAACAAATAGGGAAACAAATAGGGAAACAAATAGGAAATAAATAGGGAAATAAATAGGGAAATAAATAGGGAAATAAATAGGGAAATAAATAGGGAAATAAATAGGGAAATAAATAGGGAAATAAATAGGGAAATGGGGAAATAAATAGGGAAATAAATAGGGAAATAAATAGGGAAATAAATAGGGAAATAAATAAGGGACATAAATAGGGAAATAAATAGGGAAATAAATAGGGAAATAAGTAGGGAAATAAATAGGGGAAAAATAAAGAAATAATAGGGAAATGAAAAGGGAAATAAATAGGTAAACAAATAGGGGAAATAAATACGGAAAAAATAAAGGGAAATAAATAGGGAAAATGAAATAGGGAAATAAATAGGGAAAAAATAGGGAAATAAATAGGGAAAAAATAGGGAAATAAATAGGGAAAAAATAGGGAAATAAATATAGGGAAAAAAAGGGAAATAAATAGGGAAAAAAAGGGTAAATAAATAGGGAAATAAATAGGGGAATAAATAGGGAAATAAAAAAGTACGGGAGGGACAATAACTCGGGAGGTTAACGCTAGAATCGGGGAAATAAATAGGGAAATAAATAGGGCAATAAATAGGGAAATAAATAGGGAAATAAATAGGGCAATAAATAGGGAAATAAATAGGGAAATAAATAGGGAAATAAATAGGGAAATAAATAGGGAAATAAATAGGGCAATAAATAGGGAAATAAATAGGGAAATAAATAGGGAAATAAATAGGGAAATAAATAGGGAAATAAATATAGGGAGATAAATATAGGGAAATAAATATAGGGAAATAAATATAGGGAAATAAATATAGGGAAATAAATATAGGGAAATAAATATAGGGAAATAAATATAGGGAAATAAATATAGGGAAATAAATATAGGGAAATAAATATAGGGGAAAAAATAGGGAAAAAAATAGGGGAAAAAATAGGGAAATAAATATAGGGAAATAAATATAGGGAAATAAATATAGGGAAATAAATATAGGGAAATAAATAGGGAAA